TAAATAATTAAATATTTAAATAATTAAATATATCTTTTATTTTGAAAATCCTTTAACCGGATTCTCTGTTACTTGCGCGCCAACATTGAGCCCACAAGCAGCAAAATGATGGATGAGGTATCTTTGGAAAGTTTCTTTGCAAAGGGGAAAAGGCCCAGAGAAGAGACAGGAGAATGGATTTATCCCGGTGTTCAATCCGCTCTGTGTAACATGCGGCGACCGGCTGCTAAAGAGGCAATGAAGCTTCAAACTGCTTCACCACTAGAGACCCAGCAGGCTGTGGATATCAGCAACACTTCGGGTGTCATTGTCTCATCACTCCCAGATGGGACCGTCTCGGTGCAGAGAAACAAGCTCAGGGCTCCGTTAGTCGTTATCGTGAGTTAAAATTTTCACGAAAGTAAAATGCTCGTTTTTGTGGCGCATCTGTATCTTATTTTGAAGGGATATGTAAACGTTACCATAGCGACCAGAGTCAGAGCGTTTGGTCGAGGAGGAGATGAGTAGAGCTGTGAGTCTGAAGTCTGGTTTAGACGGAAAGATTTAAGGATTGTTCCCCTCCGCGGATAATAAAAAGGTTGGGGACCAAATGACATGTTCCCAGATTTATTAAAGTCAAACTGATTTTAAAGATGATTAAAGCTTAAAGATATTAAGGCTGTTGGAAATAAAATCTATGATTATTATTAGAACGGTTTTCTAAGTTAATAACTAACGTTGATCCACTGGGCTAACTGGGACTAATCCCAGTAAGATCCTGGTTTTCTTTAGAAGCAGACTGGGATTAAATATTCCAGTTTTTAATCTGAAGCAGATTCATACTGGTTTGAACTGGGACTCTGTCCGTCCAACCGCTGCTGTCCAGACTGGGCGGTACGGAGGCCCGGAGGGGCCAAATGCTAATCGCATGCTAACAGACCGTCTTCCTGCAGGACACCACGCCGGACGAGCTGCTGAGCGCCGTGATGACGGCCGTCCTGGAGGACGTGGGACTGTCCCCGGACCAGCTGGGGGACGTCTGTGTGGGTGAGTGTAATACCCAGCCTGGCCTGAAGGGGCGCCATCGTCCTCTGATCCTGCTAAGAGGCTTTCTGTCTGCAGGAAATGTTCTGCAGCCTGGAGCCGGAGCGCTGATGGCCCGAGTGGCTCACTTCCTCAGGTCAGGGTCTGGGGTCAGAGGTCAGCATGTTGAGGCCTTTGAAGGGGCGGGGCTTCTGAAGGGGCGGGGCCTGGAAGTTCTAACATCTGTTGTGGTTGCAGCGGTTTTCCAGAGAAGGTTCCGGTTTACACGGTGAACAGGCAATGTTCCTCTGGCCTGCAGGCGCTGCTCAACATCGCAGGTAACGCCTCACCTGACCTCACCTGACCCCGTTGGTTCCAGCTGGTTCCTCCAGGTCGCCGGCCCAGTCTGACCTGGTTGTTCTGTTTCTCAGGATCCATCCGGAGCGGATCCATCCAGCTGGGCCTGGCCTGCGGGTGAGTTCCTGAAGTGTCCTTCTCTTCCCGTTCAAAGTTCTCCTGAAGAACAGTTCTCCAGACGTTCAGAGACCTGTTCACTCCAACAAACAGGCAGTTGGTCCAGGATCATCCTGACCTCTGACCTGCTGTGTTTCAGAGTGGAGAGCATGTCGCTCCGATCCATGGGGGATCCAGGAGATCTGAGCTCCAGACTGTCGGCCAACGCCAAGGCGAGGGACTGCCTGATCCCCATGGGGTGAGAGGAGGCGAGGCACCGATCCATCGGCTGCTCAATAATCAATACAACCAACTGCAGGAATTATGGCTTCAGCAGCATGAAGTCGATCTGTCAGCAGAAAAACTCTCAGCATGAACGACCTTCACAAAGCCACTGAAGGTCACACAGAGCAGATCAGGATATTTACCAGCATCATCGTTTATTTATTGATATCAATGTTGCAACATTTTCCAGTCAATCTGATTGGCTCCAGAACTGGAACGTTCTTGTCATTCCATGTTTTCCGTCTCCTCAGCGTGACGTCGGAGAACGTCGCGGAGCGGTTCGGAGTTTCCCGGCAGCAGCAGGACGCCTTCGCTCTCGACTCCCAGATCAAGTTTGTTGTTTAGCTTTTTAGCTCTGCAGCTTTTTGTCCTTCCTCTGGTTCTCCCAGTCACTCCAGTGTTCCCAGTGTTCCCAGCAGCTCCGGCTCTGGTCCCGTCCGGGCCGGCGCTGACCCGTGTGTCCCCGCAGGGCGGCCCGGGCCCGGGACTCGGGGCGGTTCGACCAGGAGATCGTTCCCGTCTCCGTCACGGTCCGGGACGAGTCGGGCCGGGAGCGGCGGCTGCAGGTTCGGAGGGACGAGGGAATCCGGGCGGGAACGACCCTGGAGGACCTGGCCCGGCTCCGACCCGCCTTCAAACCCGACGGAACCACCACGGCAGGTCAGAACCGCCCGACCCGCAGCACCTTCTCCTGGCCGGCGCCGCTGACTCCGCTCTGTTCCAGGAAACTCCAGCCAGGTGAGCGACGGGGCAGCGGCGGTTCTGCTGGGCCGCCGGGCCGCCGTGGAGGAACTGGGTCTGCCGGTTCTGGGCGTGCTGCGGGGCAGCGCCGTGGTGGGCGTCCCGCCGGACCTGATGGGCATCGGCCCGGCGCTGGCCATCCCCGCCGCGCTGCAGCAGGCAGGTGAGGCGACCAGAACCTTCTGGACCAGAACCGACACGACAGAACCAACATGACCTCCATTTCCTCCTCAGGCCTGACAGTGAACGACATCGACGTGTTCGAGATCAACGAGGCGTTCGCCAGCCAGGTGTGTGTGTGTT